CAAATATAAGAAAGGTTGAATCTTGGAAGAAACTCTTGAAGTCTTGGCAAGGCCTCAACTTGGCTTGGAAGAAAAGCTACTCACCTTTTTAAAGAGAAGGTAGAGCTTAATTTTTAGAAAGTGTAAGGGACAGAATGAAGATGTCTACTAGGTTAGGTTACAATACTAACACTAGGTGAAAGGTCAAGAATGCCCTTACTAACATTAGGAAATGTAAGGAACAAGGGAACTCCCTTCAAAGCTCAAGGTACAACTTAACTTTGGAGTTGACTAGTCAAATACTAGTCCTCAAGTATTGAATTTTAGGATTTTAGGAATTAATTCCTCAATTGAAATAGGATTAATTACTCAATTAATCCATTAATTGAATTTGGATTTTTGGGGTGTCACATTGAACGTCTAAGCCTCGTGATCAATAACAAGGTTGCAAATGGTGACTGGAAGGGCATCAAAATCACAAGATCAAGTCCAATTATTTCCCCTCTTCTATTTGCAGATGATATGCTCATTTTTAGTGAAGCCTCTTTGCAACAAGCAATCATTATAAAACAATGCTTGGATAAGTACTGCAATCAGTCTGGACAAAAAGTAAACTTTCAGAAATCCTCACTATATTTCTCCAAGAACACAAGCAGCACTACACAGCAAGAAATTGTGGAGACATTTGGAATTCCGAACACAGAGAATCTGGGCAGGTACTTAGGTGTCCCATCCATCCATGGTAAATTAAAAAAAGAGACCTTCGATGGTTTAATAGATAAGGTTTAAGGCAGGTTGGCGAGATGGAAAAGAAAGACACTATCCTTCGTAGGAAGACAAGTTTTGGCACAATCAGATTCTGTCTGTAATTCCTCTATATTCAATGCAATCTACTCTTATTCCTTCAGGAGTCGTGATGCAAATAGAGAGGCTAATTAGAGACTCCTATGGGGCTCTGCAGAGGGGGGTAGACAGTGCAACCTTGTTAAATGGGAAACAGTCACTTGTGACAAGGACCAAGGAGATCTCGAAATCCATATCCTGGATGCGATGAATAAAGCAGTTTTAGCAAAACTCGGATGGAGGCTCATAACAGAGGAAGATTTCCTTTGGGGAAAAATCATGAAGGCTAAATATTTGAACCAAAATGGTTAGAAGCTGCACCAATCCTCCTAAAAGGCAACAAAAAGCTGGTTAGAAAATGAAGGAATACACGCTTCTGGTTAGAATCATGGCTGGGTCACCAACCCTTAACTGATCTCTGTAACTGCAGCCTACCACTTCCGGAGCTATACGCTCTTGTATCGGACTACTAGATCTCCTCCCTAGGCTGGAACTGGAACAAAATAATCAACCTGCTCCCCTCAGCTGTCCTGGATCGCCTAGCCGCAGTGGTTCTCGGTGAAGATTGAAAAAGCGCCTTGAATCTTGAATGCAAGACGAGAATAATGTTCTACTTGATTTTATATTAACTCATAATCATATCTATTAATTTAATCATTTATCAATAATAGATAACGAAAAATAATTGCAGAAAATAAATCAAGAACCCAAGAAATTGTTACGTAGTTCGGACCACTTCTCCTACGTCTGCGGGGCAACCCACGTCTGCCCAATCCACTATAGATGTTCACCAAGGAGTTATACAATAGGTAAGTACAAAAGGCTATCAGCCGTTACTACCACAACACCTTCCTAACATCTACTCAGGATTGTACGTGCATGCCGTGACGATCTTCAAGCGAAGCTTCAGCTAACTCAGGTACAGATTGTGCAGCTCAGATTTAAACCCTCAAGAAATAATATAATAAAAGAGATTTTTGTAATGACTTTGTGTAGAATTTCCTTTCTCTCAAATTAGCAATTCTCCAAATGCGTAGCTTTCCATAATGGGGTAGCTTCTTTTTATAGTAATAGATAATCCAGCCACTTGATCCATAATAATAGCATCCTATAATCTTCAATGAACCATAGCCACACATTTGATTTGAAAGCCTCACATTATACGCACTATTGACTTCCCTTTCTTTAAACAACCAATAAATGATAACCATTCAAAATCATACTATATGATAGGAAATGGTCCAAAGAGTTTAGTCTAACTTAAATATAATTAAAATAAAATAAATTAGCCAACATAGGTTTTAATGTGTACTAATTTTGTACACTTACAATCTACCCCTTTGGCAATTTATTTGGCAAAAACTATAGCATCTTATATTCCAGGCAAACAAAATAAATTTTATTAAAGGCCCTTAGTATATGCACTAGACAATACCCTAAGATAAGAATTAAATAAACAATTACCAAAAGCTCTTTTGAACCATGTTCCATCCATGAACCCACTGTATTAAGTTTCAAATAACCTGTGTTGCATATATCCAATGAAGCTTCAATATTTAGGAATTCCGAAGACAGAGAATCTGGGCAGGTACTTAGGTGTCCCATCCATCCATGGTAAATTAAAAAGCTGGTTAGAAACGGAAGGAATACACGCTTCTGGTTAGACTCATGGCTGGGTCACCAATCCTTAGTTGATCTCTGTAACTGTAGCCTACCACTTTCGGAGCTATATGCTCCTGTATCGGACTACTGGATGTCATCCCTACGCTGGAACTGGAACAAAATAATCAACCTGCTCCCCTCAGCTGTCCTGGATTGCCTAGTAGCAGTGGTTCTCGGTGAAGATGATAATCAAGAAAACACGATTGGTAGGGACGACGAAAGGTCTGGAGAATTCTCAGTTAGCTCTGCATATAAAATTGCAATAAACTCTAATGGGTAGTCTGAGACTCAGACATGGAGGAACATATGGATGCTCAAGATCCCTAGCAAAATTCAATCATTCTTATGGCTGGCAAAGGTTGTGCTGGGTGTCCCCCTTCCCCGATGATCCAAAAAAAAAATATTAATTATATGATACTTAATATGTATATGTTTAACCTTTGAAGAAGAGATTGTTTTCCGAAAAAAAAATGGAATTGTGGAAATAGGAACTACAATTTCAAACCTTTTTTTTTTTGGAAATTCCTCTCACAAGTCTCTCACCGATCCTCCCACTTGTCCCTTTGACAAGCTCCTTCCCTCTTGTCCTGTTGACAAGCTTCCCACCTTTATGGTGTTTGTCATTATTGCAACCTGCATTTATTTTTCATTATATGATGTTGTTGAATATCTTCGTTGGCCATCAATGTAGTTGTTGAGTTGATGAGGTTCTCTATCAGGAAGTTATTGCATGGAGCCTCTGAAGAAAGGTACCATCCCACAAACATCTCAGTTTACCTCTTGGCACTTTTCACCAAGAGCAAACACAGTGATAATCCTATGTGCACTTCCCACCAACTTTTCTCGTGTCCTCATATCCTCCCTGGGTTTCTTTCTGCTTTCTCCAACATGGCTTCATCAAGTAAAGGAAAGAAGCCGCTGGAAGAACACTACGATGCCCTGAACATACATGACGCTGAAGAGGTTGAGATTCAACTAGACGATGGAGTTCTAAACCCCATAGGAGATGAAGAATTTTTCACCTTAGTCGGAATGGTCCTCACCGACAAGCTTGTGAAGTTCAACTACATGAAGGATGGCATTGCTAACGTATGGAGACCGATAAAGGGCATGTTAGCAAAAGAGATATCTCCTAATCTCTTTGTGTTTTATTTTTTCCTCCGAAAAGACGTGAAAAGAGTTCTAGATGATAGTCCATGGTCGTATGATCAAAGCTTACTCATCCTAAAAGAGCTCGAGAGCAACACCTCACCTTTTGACGTCTAAATGGACAAAGCTGAGTTTTGGATTCAGATTCACAAGATCCCTCGTGCCCTTGCAAATCTGAAAATGGCGGAAATCATCGGAGCAAGTTTGGGAAGCTTTGTGAAGGTAGAGTTCTCAAATTTTGACGGAACCTGGAATGCCTTCCTACTCTTAAGAGTAATCATTGAGGTTAACAAACCTTTGCGAAGAGGAATGAGATTCAAGCAACCACATGGAGAGTCTCTTTGGCTAGAATGCAAGTGCGAGAGGCTACCAACCTTCTGCTTTATTTATGGTCGTTTGGGGCATGCCGAAAAATATTGCCCATACGAGCTAGGAATCGATGATGATAGTGTGGTGAGACCGTATGGTCCGGAGCTGAGAGTCGCCAGAAGGAACACCACCATTCAGGCTAGCAGATGGTTCTGTTCAGAACTGCCCTACCAGTTTGCTCAGTCGCCGGAAACTGCTGTCGGAGATACCAACTATCAGGCGAACATGGGCGGAATCCCGAGGTACGAGGTTGGTGGAAGACAATCGGCACAAAGCTCTGTGCTTCACCCGACGGTCATTAACCATGAGGCAAAAGACATTGGCGCTCAGTGCACAGGGGTAATTAATTCGCACACTGACAGTCTTAATGACACAAGCGACAAGAATTTTTCAAATATTCCATCCCATGCCTCTGTTATGGATCTTCTCATGACTGACCCAAACAGAAAGAGGAGGGCCCAAGATATAAGTGAGCCGAGTGAGGGCAATCTGCACAATGGGGAGCCCATGATTGTAGAAGAGGAAGACTGTGTCGTCTCAAAGGAGTATTCTTTTTTAGAGGTGGGCTCTGCTGGACAGGCCCGCCTATCCCAATGAGTTTTTTTAGCTTGGAACTGTCGTGGGCTTGGCACCCTAGAGACAGTTCAAGTGCTAGTGGACCTGATCCACTCTAAGAGGCCAACCGTTGTTTTTCTCATGGAAACTCTTACTAATAACTCTAAGCTATAATTAATAAAAATAAGGTGGGCTTTTTTGGTTTGTTCACGGTGGATAATTTGGGTCGTAGTGGAGGCTTAGCCCTTTTATGGAAGAATGATTCCGAGGTCAACATCACGGGCTTCTCTAGACTTCATATAGACGCTACGATCACAATGACAAACAATCCAGATCCTTGGAGGTTCACAGGGATCTACGGGAACCCGGAAAGGAATAGATGGCGAGAATCTTAGGGTCGTCTCTGTCACTTGGCTTCGCTATGCTCACTGCCTTGGGCACTTATGGGGGATTTTAATGACATCCGCAACTCAACTGAGAAGATTGGTACTCATCCGCATCCTCAGTGGCTCATCAGAGGATTCAATGATGGCATTGAAAGCAGCGGCCTTAGGGACTTTGATTTTGACGGGTGCCAATTTACATGGGAGAAATCTAGGGGCACTCCAAATTGGATCTGGGAAAAACTCGACAGAGTCTTAGTTAATGATGCGTGGGCGGAGAGGTTTGGGAACGCCACTGCAAGGTCTCTTACTGTTCCTACTAGCGATCATCTTCCTCTGTTTCTAAACACCATACCTACTGTCCGCCAACATAGAAGGAGAAAATTCAAGTTCGAGAATGCTTGGCTCAAGGAAAATCATTACAGGGAAATTGTTTTAAATTGCTAGGAGTAGTCCACTGGTTATCATGTGCCGATTCGCCTGGATACGTGCAGCAAGGCCATCTGGGAATGGGGGAGAAAGACGAACTCAAACTTCCAACCTAGAATCGATTATTGGGTAAAAAGGATGGACTCTCTTAGAAGCAGAATTGATACACTTGGTTTGGCAGCGTATGCGGATGCCCGGAGGAATTACTTGGACCTCATAAATTAACAAAATACTTTCTAGAGGCAATGAGCTAAGGTCCATTGGTTCAAGGGCGGTGACATAAATTCCAAATTTTTCCACATGTCCTGTCAACGTCATAAGAGGAATATTCACATTGCAAAACTTTTGGATGATAGGGGAGTTTGACGAGAGGAGGGTCCAGAACTCGATAACCTTATGCTTGATTATTTCAATCACTTGTTTGCTTCCCCCCAAGGAGACATGGAACTTGTCTTGAATTTTATCTCTACTAGAATATCTGAGGCAAACAACGTTGATCTTCTAAGAACGACCAGTGCATATGAGGTCAAGAGGGCTGTTTTCGGTATGCATCCGGACAAGTCTCCGGGCCCCGACGGCTTCAACCCGGGTTTTTACTAGGCATATTGAGATATTCTAGGCTCAGACATCGTGAGTTTGTGTAATGAGTTCTTAGTCACAGGTCATCTGCCAAGAGGCTTAAATTCTACTCAACTCGTCCTTATTCCAAAGAAGGCTAAGCTAGTGTCCATGGGGGATTTGAGGCCTATTTCTCTCTGTAACGTAGTGTATAAAATTTTCTCAAAAGTCCTAGCCAACAGACTCAAGCCTCTCATGAACAGCCTTATCTCGGAGAACCAAAGTGCATTCGTCCTAGGCCGCCTAATAACAGACAACATTATGATTGCGTTTGAAGCTCAGCATTATCTGAAGAACAAGAGGCATGGGGCTGAAGGTTTTGCTGCTTTAAAACTGGATTTGAGCATAGATTTCGACCGGGTAGAATGGGGGATGTTGCGTGCTATGTTACTGAAACTCGGATTCTGCCGCAGATGGGTGATGCTGATTATGGAATGTGTTAGTACAATGGAGTATGTCATTCAAAGAAATGGAGTCGAGTTAGGTCCTATTATCTCACAACGGGGTCTTAGACAAGGAGATCCCTTGTCTCCCTACTTGTTCAATCTAGTGGGGGAAGGCCTAAGTGCTCTCATAAGGAAACAGGAATCGTTAGGAACCTTCCATGGTATAAGAATCGCACGCAATGCTCCCAGAATTTCCCACCTGCTATTTGTCGATGACAATTATATTTTCTTCAAAGCTACCCAGTCTCAAAGTACCACTTGTAAGCACATCCTGGACGTCTATTCTGCAGCCACCGGTCAATTGGTAAATTTTGATAAATCCTCTCTAAACTTTAGTAAAAATGTTATTGGGGCTGTGATGGGGGTTGTTAGTTCTATCCTGGGTGTGAGAATGGAAGGAAATGCTGGGAACTACCTTGGGTTACCATCTTTAGTTGGCAGGAACAAAAGGGACATCCTAGATTTCATTAAGGGTAAGATTGTTTCTAGGATCAATTCTTGGAACCATAAGTTCCTTTCAAGGGCAGGAAGGGAGGTTCTTTTGAAGAGTGTGATTCAGGCAATACCATCTTTTGCTAGGAATCTGTTTTTGCTTCCGCAGGGGTTGGTGAGTGATATAGAGAGGACAGTGAATGGGTTTTGGTGGGGGAAATCGGGAAAACATGGTAGGGGGTTGAGATGGAAGGCTTGGGATAAACTTTGTGTTCCTAAAAATATTGGGGGGGGGGGGGGGGGGGTGGTACAAGATGGGAAATCTGGAGAGCAATGGTAGCACAAGATGGAGTAGGCCATCACTAGGGTGGTACAAGCTAAATGTGGATGCCGCCTTAGATGTCAACTCAGGTTGAATGGGCCTGGGTTGGGTCCTCCGTAATCAGCATGGTTCCTTCATATCTACAGTCAGCCAGCCGTGGACTGGAATTTACTCTCCCAAGGAAGCTGAAGTCTTGGCAATCAGAAAAGCTCTAAGCTGGTCCAAATAGCACAGCCTCGAGTACCTCCATGTTGAGACGGATTCCTTATTGGTTGTTCAGGGTGTATCATCTCCGGATTCTGTCACCTCGTTTGATCTCCTTTTAGCCGATGTAAAAGATTCGTTGAGCACTTTTGCTCATTGTTGTATCTCTTTTGCGAAACGTTCTGCGAACCGGACGGCCCATCTCCTAGCGAGGGAGTCTGTTTCTTTGTCTGAACGTAAGGAGTGGGCTTCTGTTCCTCCTTCCTTTATTCAAAATTTCCTTATTCTTTCTTTTTTGACACAAAATAAAAAATCATTTTTATAAATTGTTAGGAATTATCTTTGTATAATTTTAATAATATTAATTGATATAAATTAACGTTTTTTTAGTAAACTACTTAGGAGGGTAACTCACAATCTCCCACATAGAATAGTAACTTGGTAACAGTGGACCACAAAGTCTTTGGTATATAAATTAAGGATAACTTTAAAATCTATTGAGATAGGAATTTTGTAAGGACCAAAAAGAGCAATCGTTATACCCTGCACCAAGGGGCACACAGCACTGTGCACCCTACGCCTCCCAAAACGACATCGTTTTGTTAAGTTGTGTAGGATTGACGCGATTATGTACATTATGGTATACAATTATGTACATTCGTTTATATAATTATCTATAAAAAATGCGATGGCAAAATCATAAATAAATACATAAGAAAACACAACCTTTTTATTTAAAAAGGTCGCGGTTTCTTAAAAAAACGCATCAATTTTTCGCGTTCGTTTCTCCCATAAATCATCACGAAAAGTAAGTGGAAACTAACTCTTTTAAAAGAAAAATCTGTATAGCTTTCCGTGGTCTTTTTGAGGAAAAGGGTTGCAAAAAGTTAATTAAAATAAGCGAAAAGGGTCAAATAAGCCCTCGAACTCTAGCTAAAGAGTAATTAGCTAACCCCCTCAACTTATTAAAGGTGCAATTACACCCATAAACAATTCATTTTGATGCAATGAAGCCCAACAACAGGTAATTGACCTGCTATCATAGGTCATTAGAGATCCGACTACCCTTTGGTGGAATTTTCAGGCAAAAAAGTAACCGACGACCGGTGAACAATAGTCAATCACGGAGATGAGAAGAGAAGTCGACGCGGTCGCTTTCTACGATGAGAAGGCGACCACTATGGTGTCGCCTTCTCGCCGGGGAAAGCGACCAGAGAAGGTGGCGACGGCTCTAACGGGTCCTCGCCGGCAGCCTTTACTACTCAGCGAAGAGGACAGTGCATTCATGGTGGTCGTGGTGGCAACCGCGACGGGCAGAATCGTGGCAGTTAGCGTGGAGGTGGTGGCCAGCAACAAAGGGGACGTGGTAGCGGTCGCGATCGGGGTGGTAATAGTGGTCAATCGAAGTGTCAGATTTGTGGTCGTAATGGTCACACGACCATTGCATGTTACAATCCTTATGGTCCTCCTCCCTAGGAAAATTTAACATATCAAGATGGCAGTTCTAATATTAATGGCTCTCAGGTATGGATACTTGACACTGGGGCAACCAATAATGTGACTCTAGATATTGCGGCCCTATCTACGTCCAAGGAGTATGTTGGTAACTGTGCTTTACGTGTTGGTGATGGTAAAGGATTATCTATCAGCCATGTTGGTCATCCTTCCTTTAATACCACATTTAGGTCTTTTCAATTGTCTAATATCCTTCATGTCCCAAGTTTGTCTACATCTTTATTGTCTGTTCAAAAGTTTGCATCAGATAATAACGTGTTTTTTGAGTTTCACCATTTTCTTTGTGAAGGATATCAATACCAAGGAAGTTCTTCTATAGGGAAATAGTTCTAGGGGTCTATACACACTCCCTATCAGCAGTTCGTCACCATCCGCATTTCTTTCCGCTCGTGCATCTGCGTTAGTGTGACATGATCGCTTAAGACATCCACATCATTGTGTCTTGAATAATATTCTTCAGTCTTGTTCAGTTAGTGGGTCTAGTAATTCTATTCGTTGTAATTGTAGTGTTTGTAATGCGTGTCAGTTGGGCAAGTCTGCACGTTTCCCACTGCCACGAGTTGAGTCATCTATTTCCAATGTTCTTGGTTTAATATACACAGATATCTGAGGTCCAACTCCTTTGTTGTAAACTGATGATTTTCCTTATTTTGTGATTTTCGTGAATGATTACTCACATTATACCTGGTATTTCCCCATGAAATTAAAATATGATCTCTATGCCATCTTTGATAAGTTTCGTACTCTGGTTGAGCTTTCTTTCAATTGAAAAATTAAATTCATTCAATTAGATTTTGGAGCTGAATAGAAAAAAGTTGCACTCTTTCTTTGTTCAGTTAGGGATTGTTCATAGACAGTCTTGTGCCTATACTCGTGAACAAAATGGTCGTGTTGAACGAAAACACATACACATAGTAGAAACGTGTTTGACTCTTCTAGCTCGTGCTTCCGCCCCATATAAATTTTGGGATTTTGCCTTTGAGACTGTTGTTTACTTAGTTAACAGAATGTTATCTACTATATTAAATAACTTTAGTCCTCACTTAATGTTGCACAAATCCCCTCCATCCTATTCCTTTCTTCGTTTCTTTGGGTGTTTGTGTTATCTTTATCTATGTCCATACAATCGTCATAAAATGTCATTTAGATATTCTCCATGTGTTTTTCTAGGTTATCCTGAGTCGTTTCGGGATATATGTGCATGGACTTACAGACTAATAAGATTTATGTGTGCAAGCATGTGAGATTTGATGAAGGAGTTTTCCCTTTTGCTACTAAAAATATTTTGCAGGCACCTCAACCGTTGCAAAGTAGTCCATGGGCAGAATATGTGTTTCACCCTACTATCATGACCACTGCCGCGCCTATGCAGCCCAACGCCACCATGCAGGAATTGCCAAGCAGTGATGCTTATGTGCCTGGGCAGTGTGACCACCAGCCAGACGCGACGGAGAGTCAGTCCGAGCATGAGCCGGACAGTG